CTATGAGTTGGGGCCGACTCGACGGCACATAACAACAACAAACTTCTATGATAACACTGGCCTTAAGTGATTCTTATCCTTACTACAGCTACATAGTCAAATTATATGATTAATCTGATACTCAAAGTATGAAAATAAACAGAGTTTTCAAATATTGCTTTCCTTCCAAATGTGTAAATCAGTCTCAGCTGAAAATAACATCTCTTCAAAGAAGGCCTATTTGACCAATGAAACGAAGTAGGGATTTCTCTATTATCCTGTCATGTCATCCTAGTCTTCATTTCCTTCAGAACCCCATTACTATCTGTAATTATTTAATTGACTGTATATGTGTGTGTATTTATACACACGAGTGAAAATAAAACACAACAAAACATATGCCAATCCAACAATTTCTACATGTATATTTCAGTGTTGATTATATTATTCAAGTTGGTGAAGAAATTATTTCATTACCAGTAACATAAACTCAAAAACCACCCCTTCCACTCTCTCTCCCATCCCTGGTAACCACCATTAATATCTGGTTTCTGTATATTTGCTTATTTCATATAAGTGAAATCACACTGTATTTGTTCTTTTGAAACTGACGTATTTTGCTCAGCATAATGATTTCAAGGTTCATCCACGTTGTGGCATGCATCAGGACTTCATTTCTTTTTTGACTATGTATTTTTAATTGACTATTTCCCTCTCAAAATAAGAAACACCTGCAAACATCCATTACTAACTGCAAAGTGGAATGTATGAAGCATGAATCTAGGAAAATTGGAAGTTGTCAAAAATGAAATGGAACACATATCCTATGCATCAGTGAGTTGAAATGGACTGGTATTGGCCATCTTAAATCAGACAATCATGATCTAACATGCCAGGAAAGATAAATTGAAGAGGAATGGTGTTGTATTTGTCAAGAAAGAACATTTCAAGATCTATTCTGAAGTACAATGTTGTAGTGATAATATCCACACGTCTACAAGGAAGACTAGATAATACTACTGTTACTCAAATGTACAAACCACCAAAGCTGAAGACGAAGACATTAAAGATTTTACCAGCTTCTGCAGTCTGAAAATGACCAAACATATGATCAAGATGTATTGACAATTAGTGATGACTGGAATGCAAAAGTTGGACAGAAGATCGTAAAGGGCGCCTTGAGAAAACAAAGTAATACTATAATGGATGTGCAAATTAGAAAACCAAAAGGCAAAAACACCCTCAGCTTTCCTCAAGTTAAAAGAACTGAAGAAAAATATTCAATCCTCGAGTTGCAATATGAGGATTCTATGAGCAAAATATTGAACAATGCAGGAAGCATTAAAAGGTGGAAGGAAGAATCAGAGTAACTATACCAAAAGAAATGGTTGATGTTCAAGCATTTCAGGAGGCAGCATATGATCAAGAACCTATGGTACAGAAGGACAAAGTCCAAGCTGCACTGAAGGAACTGGCAAAAAAAACCAGGTTCCAGGAATTGACAGAATATCCACTGAGATGTTTCAACAAACAGATGCAGTGCTGGAGGCATTCACTCTCATGCCAACAAATTTTGAAGTTGGCTACCTGACCAACTGAATGGAAGAGAACCCTATTTGTGCCCCTTTCAAAGAAGGATGATCCAACAGAATGTGGAAATTATTGAAAATCATTCATATCACATGCAAGTAAAATTTTGCTGACGAAAATTGAAAAATGGTTGTAGCAGTACACTGACAGGGAACTGCCAGAGATTCAAGCCACAGTCAGAAGTGGACATGTAAGAATGAGGGATATCATTGCTCATGTCAGGAAGATCTTGGCTGTAAGCAAAGAATACCAAAAAGACTGCTTACCTGTGTGGATCATAACAAATTATGGATAACATTGCGAAGAAGGGGGCATTTCAGAATTAAATGTGCTCATGAGGAACCCGTCCATTGATAAAGAGGCTGTCACTTGGACAGAACAAGGGGATGATACTGCATGGTTTAAAATCAGGAAACGTGTGCATCACAGTTACATATCCTTTCCCCATACTTATTCAATTTGGATGCTAAGCAAATAATCTGAGAAACTAGACACAGCATCAGGATTGGAGGAAGACTCATTAACAACCTGCAATATGCAGATGACACAACCTTACTTGCTGAAAGTAAAGATGACTTGAAGCCCTTACTGATAAAAATCTTCAGTATGGATTATACCTCAACATAAAGAAAACAAAGATACTCACAACTAGACAAATAAGTAAATTTATGATAAATGGAGAAAAGATTGAAGTTGTCAGGGATTTCATTTTACTTGGATCCATAGTCAATACCCATGGAGGGTAGAAATCAGACGACATATTGTAAATCTGCTGCAAAAGCTCTCTTTAAAATGTTAAAGAGTAATGATGTCACTTTGAAGAGTTAGGTAAACTTGACCCAACCCATGGCATTTTCAACAGCCTCACGTGCATGTGAAAGCTGGACAATGAATAAGGAAGACTGGAAAATAATTAATGTCTTTGAAATATGGTGTTGGCAAAGAATACTGAACATACCATGCAAAGTCAGAAGAACAACAAACAAATCAGTCTTGGAAGAAGTGCAGTCAGAATGCTACTTAGAAGAGAATGGCCAGACTTGGTCTCACATACTTTGGTCATGTTGTCAGAAGGGACCAGTCCCTGGAAAAGGATTTATGCTTGGTAAAGTAGAAGGTCAGTGGAAAAAGGGAAAACCTTCAATGAGATGGATTGTCACAGTGGCTGCAATGGTGGGGCTCAAGCACAGCAGATTGTGAGGATGGCACACGATTGGGGAATATTTCATTTTGTTGTACATATGGATGCAATGAGTCAGAGCCAACTCAATAGCACCTAAAAACATTTCCCCTACTAGATCGTAAGCATCACAAAGGAAGTAAACATGACAGTCCTGCACAACACTATCTACTCAAGCAGTCGAGTGCTCTCCACTCAATAAATACTGAACAAATGAATTTTATTTTAGAGTTTGAGTAGATATCTTATCTCCATAATTATTATGTTAATACTTTGAGGGTAGGGGAAGTATCTTAACTCCATATTCTACATAAGCCCTGTGGCCTCACACACATAAAACATGAATTCCATTTATTTATTGAATGGGAAAATAAAAACACTCTTACCTTGCCAAAGCTGCCTTTTCCAATAACTTTTAAGAAATCAAAGTCTGTTGGCTTAGCACTGAAATAAATTAACATTAAGAATTAGCTTCATAGATATTAGAAAGATATTAACTTTTAAACATTTCTTAATAACTCATTTTGTCTATTTTTAATATTTCATTGAGTTTTTGGTGAAAGATTATATAGCAAATTAGGCTCCCATTTAACAACTTCTACACATACTGTTCAGAAACACTGGTCACACTTTCCACACTGCATCAACATTCTCGTTATTTCCATTCTGGGTGTTCCATTTCCATTATTCTTGCTTACTTGCCTGCCCTCCCCAACCTTCTCATTGCTCCAAGGTAAATGCTGACAGTTTGGTTTCATATAGGTGATTGTTATTGTTGTTGTTGTTTTTAATATAAAAAGAACACAGTACTCACTAGTGATAGTTATGAGTCGATCCGTTATTTAGTTGAAAGGTAACCTCCAGAGTAGTTTCAGTTCAAAGTTTAAAGGGTATCTCAGGGTGATAATCGTAAGGGTTCCCAGGTCTCTGCTGGTCCAGTAGGTTTAGATTTGACTTTTTTTTTTTTTTTTTAAGATTTTGAGTTTTCTACGATTTTCTCCCATTCTATCCAGGACCATCTATTGTGGTACCAATTATAACGGTAGGTAATGGTAGCCAGCCACCATCTAGTGCTTCCGGTCTCTGGACAGGTGAGGCTGTGGTTCATGTAAACAAATGGTCCTGTAGACTGGTGTGATAGTTAAGGTTGTGTGTCAACTTAGTTGGACCATGATTTTGAGTGTTTTAAGCATCTGTGGTGTGGTCATTCCCACAATGATATATAATGTATATGGTTTGAGCAGTCAATCAGTTGAAAAGGAGTTTCCTTAGGGTGTAGCCTGCTTCCATATATATATATGGACGACCTGGGAAAATTTGGGAACCTTCTGTGGATCTGGATCCTGTCATGCTGCCTACAACTGTCCTGTGAGTCAACAATCCACCATTTTGCCTGCTGACCTTGAATTTGTCATCCACCAAAGTCAGCAGCCTATTATATTGCCTGCAAATCTTGCGCTTGTCAGCCCCTGCAGCTGCATGAGTTAGGAATAGCCTCCAGCTTGACATTTCATCCAAGAACTTGGGACTTGCCAGCCTCTGTAACTGTGTGAGCCATCTTCCTAAGATAAATTTCTCTCTCTCTCTAGGTAAGCTTTACTGGTTTTGCTTCTCTAGACAACCCAACCTAAGACAACTGGTTTCTTTTCTGAGTCTTTGGTTTCCTCCTTTTCTTTTGCTCTAGATGAAACCAATGGGAGCTCTGGTAGCTTAGTGCCTAAGGAACTTGACTGCTAATCAGAAGGCTGGCGGTTCAAACCCACCAGCCACTCCTCAGAAGATGAGGCAATCTACTTCCGTAGTCACGCTGCCTCGGACCCCAAGGAGGGGTCACTATGAGTCGGGTCCGACTTGATGGCATATAACAACAACAGATGAAACCAATAGTTGCACAGGTTTCCCCTGCAATCAGAAGGTAGAGTGTTCCTATAAAATCTTTCATAAGCTGAAATGGCATAAAGCGAAGTAGTTACCACTTATATGGGAATTTTTTTTTTAAGTATTCCAAGACTCAAAAAATAACCTATTTAATCATACCAAAGAATACATAAAACCTGAAATAATACTAACATAATAGTGTTCACAGGCACAGTCCAAAGCTATGACGCCATGATGATAAGATGCTAAGTATAGCTGCCAGGAAAGGAGTTTGGCAACACCACTCTTGCTGCTCAGGGTGTGTGCTGCCTCTTTGACAGCTGGCTTCAAAACAAATGCTGAACACTTTGGTGTTTTTTTTTGGTAAAAGCAACAATCTTCTTCAGGGTTTTTTTGGTTAGCAAAAATACTAATGTAGGTCTTTTGTAAAAATGAACTGGTGTAAAGTGATCTTCAAAAACCAGGAGATACCTGTATATCTTTGAAGGCCCCTTGCAACCTTTTAAGACCCCAGATGTAACTTGCCAAAGTAGGATGTTGACCATAAACTTTATAGATTATAGTACCTCACTTTAGCAAGAAAATGTTGAATACAAAATACTTCAGCATGATGACTAGTTTTCACGCTGAGACTGGTAATATCTCATCATTAATATAAAATAGGTAATAATGAGTAGCAATTATATCTCCTGAGTAGATCTAACATTTAGTAACTTTTTTTAAGCCTCAAATTTTGCTTAATAATCACTCAAAAGAAAAAAATATATATATAAACATAATGTAATTTCTATTACATTAAGTTGAAAAAAATTTCTATCCAAGCAGCTGGGTGGTGCAAATGGTTAAGTACTCCACCACTAGCAGAAAGGTTTGTAGTTCAAATCTACCCAGAAGGGTGTCAGAAGGCCCACCCAGCAGTGCCCTGGAAGAAAGACTGGGCGATTTATTTCTGAAAGGTCAGTCTTGAAAACCCTGAGGAGTAGTTCTATTCTGCACACAGGGGACTGCCTTGAGTTGGAATCAACTGACAACGCTAATAACAGCAATAGTTTCTATCTAAACCAATTTTATTAACTGTGACTTCACCAATATTATTATAGAGGAAACTGCATAACCATGTAAATTAGTGATACATTCCACGTATGACCTAAAACCAGTTGTCATTAAGTTGATTCTGACTCATATCAACCCCATGTATGTCAGAGTAGAACTGTACCACATAGGGTTCCAACGGCTGACTTTTCAAAGGTAGAACCAGGCCTTCCTTCCAAGGTGCCTCTAGGTGGATCAATCACCAATCTTTCAGTTAGCAGATCTGCATCACCCAGATACTCCCAAGAGCTACCCAGTATCTGAAAATTCTTTTGAAAAGGAAGGTACTAGATAGAACATCTAGTAAAGCTGCTACAAAAAATGTCTGGTGGAGGAAAAGTCATCATTGCTTTTTTCATTTACATCATTTATCATATATTAGAGACAAAAACATCTTGCTATTTATTCTCATGGATGGTACTGTAAAAAGACAGACGTAGAAAAGTCAGAGGGAATACCAAGATTGTTCTTTTATTTATATCAACCTGCTAGGGAAAAAGGAGCTCTGGTAGCATGGTGGTTAAAGCATCTGACTGCTAACAAAAAACGATGGTGGTTCGAACCCACTAGCTGCTCCATGGGAGAAAGAGAAGCAGTCTACTTCTATAAAGATGTATAACCTTGGAAACCCTATGGGGCAGTTCTACTCTGTCCTAATGGGTCATTCTGATTTGGAATCAACTCAATAGCAATGGTTGGATTTTTTTTTTTTTTTTAATTGGGGAAAAGAGCGTTCTGGTGGCACAGTGGTTAAAGCATTTGGCTGCTAACCAAAAGGTTGGCAGTTTGAACCATTAGCCACTATTTGTGAGAAAGATGTAGCAGCCTGTTTCTGTAAAAATGTACAGCCTTAGAAACCCTATTGGGTGGTTCTACTCCACCTACAGGGTTGCTATGAGTTGGAATGAACTTGGTGGCAGCGGTTTCGTATTAGGTAAAAATGGCATTGGCTGTATGAAGTCAAAGGTACACAGAAGCAGAAGGCTTAGATAAGCAGACAGTTGTTTCCTTCAACATGGCCTAAATGCTGAAGTTGTATTAGGAAGCAGGAAATGATTACACTTAGATTTGAAATTTTCTTCATATTTGAAGAAATAGTCAATTCAAATATTAGAGTAATACCAGAGCTGGGTAAAGATTATTGAGAAAAAACTAAACTTAAATGTTTTTCTTTTTTTTTTTTTAATTAGGATTTGGGTGAAGATTTACAGAGTAAATTCACTTTTCATACAGCAGTTCACATATACTTTGTCTCATGTCATTGACCAAAATTTACAATGCAGCAGCTCCCCTCCCACTTCCTCCCCATAGTTACCTCCTCCCAGTGTCCATCCCTTCATACTCTTCGAGAGGCCCATTTTCTGCCAACCCTGTATATGATCTTGGATACACTCTCCATTTAGACATACATAATTGTTTAGCTTGTTCACCCATCTATCCGTCCCTATACCCATATTTGCTTTCACTAACAACTCAGTATTGTATTTACAAAGGGGTTCATATTTGTTGTTTGTACTGCCCATGTAACTCTCTCTGTCTTTCTCATCCTCAATGCTGCCATATTGGTCACTCACATTAAATGTTTTTCTTCTTAAAAAACCTGCTTTTCGGGTATTTTGTTCTTTAATGATATGCTGAGAAGCACATGTAACAGTGAAATAAACAGGCAAATCTCTCAATACAGTAAACAGGAGGAGGTCATACTCAAGATCCCACTGTTAACAGCTGGTGGTAATGTTAATTGAAAGAAAATTTCCATTCCTGTGCAGCAAAAAGCAAGCTCAAATCCAAACTTCCCCTGCCAGGTCCCATCCCATTTCTTGCTCTCCTTTGTAACAGAACTCAATGAAGTTTTCTAAACTGACTGTCTGTATCTGCTGTCTCTCCTTTAGTTTTCTTTTGAACCCTTTCCCGACAGCCTTTTGTACTCACTGTACCACTGAACATGCTCCAGAGGTCACTGATGACTTCTGCATAATTAAATCCAGTGCTCAAATCTCAATCCTCACCCTACTTGACCTACTGCAACATTACCAGTGTTAACTGCACCCTCCTCCTTGAAACACTTCCTTCCTCTGACTTCAGGACACTACATTTCTAGTGTTCCTCCTATCTTACTGATTACTCTCTCTTTCTCCTTTACTGGTTCCTCTCTGACCTCATAATGTTGAAGTGTCCCAGGCTCTAGTCCTTGGATCACTTTTCCTGTCTGCCTATACTTATACCTGAAGCAGACAAAAAGGGCAAGGGAAGCATGATATGCTGTAATAAAAGGCAAAATATTTTAGAATTAATCTAACATGTGTGACAGGACAACTGCGAATAAAGAAGAGCAACACTACACTCTTCCTCCAATCCATGGCACTGCTTCAAATTGAGCCAGGAAATTGCCATGGAGTCCTCCCTTGTTTTCAGTGTTAGGAGCTCTGGTGGCATATTAGATAAGGGGCTGACTGCTAACTGGAAGGTCAGCGGTTTAAACCCACCAGCTGCTCCATGGAAGGAAGACTTGGTGATCTACTTCTATAAAGATATGCAGCCTTGGAAACCCAACGGGGGTCACTATGTGTCGGAAATGACTTGATGGCAGTGAGTTTGGTTTCTGGAAGAAATCACTTCTAATTAACTGCTGGACCTGACATTCAAGATGAATATCCTCTGTGGTCAAATAAATATGAGAATATGGGAGAGACTGGTTAAACAAAGTTTGATATCCTTTACTATGCTAATGTTCATCATGACTCTGGAACACACTGGCTAACTAGGACGCACCAGCAACACTGAGTACCCAGGAGAATATTAATTTGGCCTGCACAGATGTTTTTTTTTAGAGCACCTCACAGGACTAATAGTCCTTTGGAAAATACGGTATACTGATTGGCTACACATACACACACAAAACCTGAAAAAAATGACAATGGCAAAAACAGCAGACCTCAATTAACAACCTGTGGATTACAAACTCCTCAGTGTTCTACAAAAGGAATGAAAAGCTACAATAATAAATAAGCCAAGCACATAACAGTACTATATTCACCCTAACTGTGATTATATTTCTTAGGGCTCTAGTTAAACTGGTATTAATTATAGACACACAGAAAAAAAAAAAATCTTCCTAACATTAGTTAAAGAATTGTTTGAAACAAATTAAACTTACTGAGGATTTCCAGTTGGTCCCAGGTTGATGCTCTGTGAGGTAGAGTGTAGCTGTTTGGGTAGGAAAAAAACAAAAAAATAGCATTCTTATTGGAGTTTCAAATATCATCAGTCACTGAATGTTTCTGAAATAATATATATATAATTACATATAATACAGCTTTCCATAATTATTTGGTGTATTATGTTAAAGAAACATTCTAATTTTTAATAAATTTAAGATTGTTTGGAAAAATAATAAACACAATAATTTTTTTATGGTAAATTTCAAGATCAGTTTTAAGGGAAAAAGTAATCAAACAATCACTCTCAAAGTTGGCAAATGAATGAAGTAAACTGTGGACAGTTCCTTGGAAGAAGTGGGTACTGAAACCACAATCTAGAGCAATCATTTTCACATTTTAAAAACTGGCTCAAAAACTGGTTTTCAAATTTTTTTTTCCTTTA